TCCTTCCAAAAGTAGTCCATAAATATCCAAAATCCACATTAGTATCACAGATGGTCCTTCAAAAATGTGTCTAAAAATCCACTTCAGTAGCTCAGATGGTCCTACAAAAAAGGTCTCTAAAAATCCACGTTAGCAGCACAGATGGTTATTGAAAAATATCCTTCGAAGAATCTAATTGGTCCTAGGAAAGCATCCTTTAAAAAAATCGTCTTAGATGGTTCTGATTCATAAAAATCCAAAGGCCACGTTAGTAGCTCATATGGCCATTCAAAAAAATGTATATACAAAGTCCTTCAAAAAATGGTATTTAAAAATCCATGTTAGTAAACCAGATGATCCTTAAAAATTTGTCTATAAAGATCCCAAGGACAAGTTAGAAGCTTACTTAAAAAGTGATCCTTTCAAATCCACGTTAGTACCTCAGTTGGTCCCTCAAAAATTGTATTTAACATCCGTCAAAATTGGATTCAAAAAATCCACGTTGGTAGTACAGGTGGTCATTCAAAAATATCCTTGGAAAAATCCACTTGGTCCTTCCTTTAAAAAAATCATCTTAGATGGTTCTATAAAATGGTCTTGAACAATCCTCACTTGATGTTTCCAAAAAGGTCCTTACAAATCTAAAATAGATGGTGATTCAAGAATGTCCTTCGAACAAATAAATTTCGAATTGTAGCATCGAAAGCATTCTTTAAAAAATTGTCTTAGATCGTCCTTTGAAAATTTCCATAAAAATTCCACTTTAGTAGCTGAGATGGTCCTCCCAAAATATTCCTTATAAATCTACTGAATCCCACATAAGTAGCTTAGAAGGTCCTCAAAATGAAATCAAGTCATTAGCCCAAATGGTCCTTCAAAGCGATTCTTAATCAATCCTCATAGGGCCTTTAAATAATACTTTCAAATTATTTAATTTTAATTACTTTGACCAATATTGTCATATTTTTTTTCAAAGAAGTTTTCTGACTACCCTGGTAAAAACAACTCATATAAGGGACATCCAAGCCCCGCCCCCTCACCCTTTAGAAAAATCGACTCTCAAATTGTTATCTGATCTCGCTTTTATTAATATTTTTTCTATTTTACATTTTAGTGCAGTAAACGATATTTAATGGCTCTCAATATGGGATATTTTTCACCCATGCAAAGGCCACGAAAATCGTCGAACTCCAAATCGAATAGGGCAACACCACCCAAATTCAAATTCTTCGAGTAAGCTGCCTTTGCTGCGGCCGTCTCGGGGTCTTCATATGAAATCCAAAGGCCATCGAAATTCTTTTTCTTATTAGCAGCGCGATAAGCATAAAGTCCACTTTTTCTAGCAGGATCAGCTATTACTTTTGTCAATGGAGCATTGGGTCCCTCCTTAATATACCTGTTATTTGCATTCGGCAACATTCCGCACACTTCCTGCCAACTGTATAATCCTTGGATTTGAGTATTTTCCCCCTTGGCAGCTTCATTTTCCACCTTGGTAATTGGTGGTATACCCGATTTACCAGAGTCCGCAGACATCTTCCATGGGCGACCATAAGTGCTAATTCCCAAATTAATTTTCGAGCTGGGGAAACCTTTGCTTAACCAAGTTTGGACCACAAAATCAATGCTGAATTCTGGCTTACGACCACTCATGGGGTAGAGGGGTGCCGTTATATCCGCCTCCTTGGGATTACGTTCAGGGGTATAAAAATCAAAGGCAGCCAAGTTAATGAAATCCACATAACTATCCAGCAGACCAATGTCGAAGAATTTCGTTGAATTAACATTCGGTAACACCGTGACCGACAAAGAATAATTATCCGTACGTAATTCAGTTTTCAATTCACGTATAAGGGAACTAAATTGTTCCTTGTGCTTCTCGGAATTTGGATCGACATCAAAACTACCGGAAAATGCCTTCTTTATGCGCTTCAAAATGCTACCAAAGATACCATGAACCTTTTTGGGTTTATTTTTTGGGAATTGGAAAGCCACATCGACACCATCGAAACCATAACTCTTGAGAGTGGCATAGATGCTTCGAATGAAACGTTGACGCCCTATTGCCGATTCCAGTAGTTCCAAATATTTATTCGGTACTTCCTTACCACCAATGCTGGCATCTACATCGCGATCACCACCCACACTCAGCATTACCTTAACATGGGGATATTTTCGTTTGAGGCGGTTAACTTTGCGATAGAGACCTTTACCCAAGTCTAAATCTAAATTCTCATTCAGACTCTTGGCCTTAAAGGTATCCCGTTCGATGCCAGCAAAACCATAGATAATGTGGGTACAAAATTGGAAAGCCGGCTCCAACTCGTCGATAAACATTTTGGCGAGAGTTTCCTTGACCGAACTGGCCGAATCATAGTAGCAGACCAAACGTTTTTCGGTCGGTGGTATTGATATCGATGATCGGTACTGGGCCCATGTACACGAGCACATGGATATCAGGATGAAAATTATTGAAATTTGCATCTTGATGAATGCGTTGTGTTGCACTTGTTTCCGTCTTAGAAAAATAAAATGATGCGAATTGAAAGATGTTCCGACACGTAGTCGTTTAGAATTTCTGGAAAACACTGAAACTCCAGACGTTGTTTGCTATTTTAGCAGATGTTTATTAGAATATTTATAATATATTTTGAAACGGATTATTTGGGTGGTGTTAGACTGTGTTGTACCTTACTGATGATTTCTGATTGTGGCGCCCAATTAGACAAATTGAATATTTTTCTTAAACGATTTTTTTTTGCAAATATGCACTTTGGGCTATTAGTGAAGATAAAAAACTTCAAAACGTGGACAGGTCGGTGCATCCCATTGGCCGTATTTTGAAGTTTCCAGTATTATTTTTATAGAAGCTCTGGTGGATGAACTTTGTGTTCTTTTTTATAGAGAGCTACAAATCTCCTATATTTTAATAATATCCCTCAAGAACCTGTAATAAATAAATACTCACTGTGAAGTCTTACATATTTTTATTGGAGACCGCAGAATTACACCCATAATAGTAGGACTTCTTTGCAAGATCTACAATTTGTTTTTGTAAAAATAAAAATTGAACAGTGTTGGCATATTTGTTGGGATACCGTAGTTATTTTATTTTAACTAATTTTATTTTAACAGCTGAGGGTCTTTTCTGAGAACAGCTAAAGGTCTTCTCTCAGAAGAACTGAGGGTATTCCTTCAGACGATCTGAAGGTGTCCACTCAGAAGATCTTCACTTAACAGAACTTCTCTCAGAAGTGTAGAAAGTCTTGAGAGAGAGCTGAGGGTCTTCTTTCAAAAGATCTGAAGGCCTTCTCTTAAAAGAGTCTTTTAAAGAAGAGCAGAAGGTCTTCTCATAGAAGAGTTAAGGCTTTCACATAGAAGAGCAGAAGATCTTCTCATAGAAGAGCAGAAGATCTTCTCATAGAGAACCAAGAGGTCTTTTCATAGAAGAGCAGAAGGTCTTCTCATAGAGAACCAGGAGGTCTTTTCACAGAAGAGAAGAACAACTTCTTTTCACAGAAGAGAAGAACATCTTCTCTTCGTAGACGACAAGAAGGTATTCCAGGAGGTCTTCTCATAGAACATCAGAGGGTCTTCCCATCAAAAACCAGATTGTATTTCCACAGAAGACCGGAAGGTCTTTCCGTAGTAGGTCATCCTATAGATGATAAGAAGGTACTCCGATAGAAGATCAGGAGGTTTACCTATAGGAAGATCAGGCAAAAAGTTCTTCTCGTAGAAAACCAGGAAGGTTTCCTCCTAGAAGAGTAGGAAGATCTTCAAATAGAAGACCATAAGGTCATTTCCCAAAGAAGACCACTAGGTATTTTCTCAAAGAAGACCAAAATCTCATCCCTAGGAGACCAGAAGCTAATTCCCAAAGGAGACCAGAACATCTTCTCAAGTCTTCTCAAATAGGATCAGAAGTATTTTTTAAAACGTCTTCTCATAGAAGGCCAGAAGGTCTTCTCATAAAAGACCACAAAGTCTTTCCATATAAGGCCAGGAAAGTATTCTCGTAGAAGACCAAGAATGCTCTTTCATAGGAGGCCAAAAGGTCTTCGCATAGAATTCCACAAGTTATTCTAATAGAAGTTCACCAGTTCTTCTCAAAGAAGGTCAGAAGTGTATCTCATAGAAGACCAGAAGCTTAGAAAAGCAGAAGACCTTCTCATAGCAGACAAGAAATTCTTCTCAAAGAAGACAAGAAGTTCTTAAATAAAACCAGAAAAAATCCCCATAGAAGACAATAAGGTAATTGAATGAAAGACCAGGAAGGTCTTCTTAGATAACCTTCCTCGCATTCTTTGGCCTTCTCCGAGGAAGACCTTCCTTCTACGAGAAGATCTGAATATCTTGTGGAAAACCTTCCTCGCATTCTTTGAGAAGACTTTCGAGTCGAAAGGTCTTCCTCGGAGAAGGCCAAAAAATGCAAGGAAGGTTTTCCACAAGATCTTCAGATCTTCTCGTAGGAGAATGGAAGGTCTTCCTCGAAGAAGGCCACAAGGTCTTCTCAGAAAAGCCCACAAGGTCTCCTCAGAGAAGACCATAAAGTCTTCTCATCGAAGGCCAGGAATATCTTTTCATAGCAGGTCAGGAATGTTTTCTTGTTCCTCAGTTTCGATGTCTTTCATTTCTATGGTTTAGAAATTTCATCAAAATTGTTCACTCGAAGAATTTACACCCACCACTCGATATAGGGTATTATTAAAAAAATTATCTTCAAAGAACTTTTTATTAGAAACACAAAGTCACAAATATGTTTATTTTTGCAAAAATATACATGTGCACATGTCGGATTCGAATTTTCAACAAAAGCGGGAATTTCCATATGTTATGAGTGTAAAAAAACAAAAGAAAAACGTTAGAATAATATTGACTTTATTATTCAGTTCCAGGTGGAAATAAGATATTGACTTAAACTGGATTAATTCAATAACAAAAAAATATCATGTTTGACATCGACCTAATTTTGTAAACTACAAAATTTAAAATTGTTAAACAATTAAAGAATACCCTAATTTGAAGTTCAAGGTTTATTAAATTTTGAAAATTCAAGAATTTCCACGATTTTGGACTATAAAATCGAAGAAAGTTATTGGTTTTTATTCAGAACAATTTCTGAAAAGAATTCAACAAAATGTTTGGCAATAAAGCACTTTTTGTGATTGGAGGTAATTTCAATACAAATTTAATTCAAAATAGCTAAAACATGGAAAATAATCCTTAAACTCCTTCTGTTCCTTGATTTACACAGCTTTGTTGGCAATCAGCTGCGGCCTGGCCGCCTCAGCTGCCGTTTGCAAAGGATGCAGCGGCAAACAATTGGCCAAAAGTCTCGATGCCCTCGATGGCAGACGAAAATGTTGGCTTAGCATGGACAATCACGTTCTGCTCAGCTTTAAGTTGGCGGTGCTGAATGGCGTTGCTGGTGTCCTAGAGGATCTCTACAAAAAATCCAATGAATTATCGCGATCCGAATGCAAAACGGATGTCATTCCCGATTGTGCTCCCTCGGGGGATACTGATGACGACATTGAATGCGTTATTGACCACATGAAAAAGATGGCCAATGCTTATGTGGAATTGGAAGAATGCAATGGCGAACTGCTGGATCCTGAAGATTTGAATATGATGTTCAGAGTAATGGCTGGGTCAACTGCTGGTTGGCGTGTTGTTCATCCAACTTGTTAATTTTGAGTTTTGGTGATTTTTGTAAAATTGAATATGAATTGATTTTTTTTTTGAAAATTAAATTCTGAAATATTTAAACACAAAACTTAAAGAATAAAAAAAAGCATTTGAATAAAAATTTGATTAATCTGTAGTTATTCAAAATAGTCATTTAATATTTTAAAATTGTGTTATGTACACCTAACTTATTATCATCATTTTTTTTAAATAATAGTTTTCAATAAAAATTAAAAAAAAATAATAAATAAGTTTTTTAAAATTCTCGAAGAATTAATGAAATAATGACTTACAGCGAAATTCTTCAAAATTCTTGGGACTTGCCATTGGAAAATAGTATCTGTGCTTTTCTATACCCTCAGTCTAACGTGCCGAATACAGAAATATATTTCCGAAGATTTAAAGTCAATCTAGTGCATAAGACTACCCAGGAATCGAGTATTGAGTCCAGCTGAAACAAATCCTGATAAGAAGCGCCAAACTAAAGCTGCAGAAATTTAAAAAAGGTTCCAACTAGAAGGTCAGAAGGTTTTCTGATAACAGGTCAGAAGGTCTTCTCATAGAAGGCCAGAGGGTCTTCTGACAGACGGCCAGAGAGTCTTCTCACAGACGGCCAGAGGGTATTCTCACAGAAGGCCAGAAGGTGTTCTCGTAGAAGGCCAGAAGGTGTTCTCGTAGAAGGCCAGATGGTCTTCTCATAGGAGGCCAGAAGGTCTTCTCATAGGAGGCCAGAAGGTCTTCTCATAGAAGACCAGAAGGTCTTCTCATAGAAGGCCAGAAGGTCTTCTCATAGAAGGCCAGAAGGTCTTCTCATAGAAGGCCAGAAGTTCTTCTCATAGAAGGCCAGAAGGTCTTCTCATAGGAGGCCAGAAGGTCTTCTCATAGAAGGCCAGAAGGTCTTCTCATAGGAGGCCAGAAGGTCTTCTCAAAGAAGTCCAGGAGGTCTTCTCAAAGAAGGCCAGGAGGTCTTCTCATAGAAGGCCATTAAGGTCTTCTCATAGAAGAACAGAAGGTCTACACACAGAAGGTCTCCTCATAGAAGGCCAGAAGGTACCCTCATAGAAGGCCAGAAAGTCTTCTCATAGAAGCCCAGAAGGTATTTTCATAGAAAGCCAGAGGGTCTTCTCATAAGAGGCCAGAAGGTATTCTCATAGAGAATTTAGCCAAATTTTAGTACTTTTCGAAAAATCATAATGCGCGTTTACAACACCATAGCTCTATATCAAATTTCGGGATTCCAGTTCTATACATTCACTCAATACCCAGTTTTGTAGCATTTATTACTTTTCGTCTAATTTTAGTACTCATTTTCAAAACTGTTTCATATGTCAATCCTAGAATCAATTATCAAATTTAGTTCCATTAAGTACAATTTTAGAACGCATATCCAAAACCAGGCCCACATCTCAACCACATACACCACATTACATTAGTACCATTTAGTTCTTTTCGCACACAAATGGGACGTATCTCCAAACCATGGCAAATACAGGTAGCATCAGTAAACTTATATCAAATTTCAGAATTTTATCTTTATACCTTCACCCAATAGTACTATTCGTACAATCATAGTACACATTTCCGAAATCACCTTCATATGTCCAGGCTAAACATGAAGAGGGACCCTATTACTAAATTTCAGATTTCAAGCACTATCTGTTCACCCAATGTCAAATACAGCACTAATTAGCACTTCTCGTACAATATTTCATATTTAAATTTCAGATCCCAGTAGAGACCTCAATATCAATTTTTAAGATTTAATCTCAACTCCTTTACCCAACATCCAAATTTAGTCGCATTTAGTAATTTTCGTACAAATGTAAGACACATTTCCGTAATACCGCCATATCTTAAACACAGGTACCATTAGACAACTAAATATCAAATTTCATAATTTTATCCTCATCACTTTACCCAGTTTTAAATATAGTTCCATTCAACACTTTTCGTACAGTTATAGTACACGTTTGTAAAACCACCTCCATATGTCCTGGCTACACATGAGGAGCGATCCTTATACTAAATTTCAGGTTTCAAGGACTATCTGTTAACCCAATATCAAAATTACCGCTTTATCACAAACCAATCACCAGGGATCCAAATACAAAATTTTAAAATTCCAGCTTCAAACGTTCACCCGAAACCAAATTGTTTCAAGTTCAGTGACATTTTGTACAGTTCGCACACTTAGTGTTCAAATCCAAAACCACATACAACAATCCAACCTTGATTCTTATACAAAATTTTTTAATCTATACATTCACAAAATACCAACTGGTACCATTTCAGATTATATAATAAATAATTAATTAATTTTCTTTTTTATCCCCGATTCAATTTGATTCAAAATGATTGATATTTTACATACATTTAATTTTTCATTTTCTTCATTTCACGAATAAAACTCGTGATTGTACACACAAAATTACAATACAGTCTTACTGACCATCAAATCAAATTAACACTGAGGATGGACAACACGCCATCCGACGGCAGATCCAGTCATTACCTTAAACATCAAATTCAAATCTTTACGATCCAACAGTTCACCATTACATTCCTCAAGTTGAACATAGGCATTGGCCATTGCCTTCATGCGATTGGTAATGCATTCAATATCGGCATCTTTATCAGCCGTAGCCTCGCACTCAGCAATGGGTTCGGTTTTACATTCGGCTCGAGACAAATCATTGGATTTTGTGTAGAGGTCTTCAAGGACACCAGCAACACCCTTCAGAACAGCCAATTTAAAGTTGAGCAAAACATGATTATCCATGCTTAACCAACATTTGCGTTTGCTGTCTAGAGTTTCCAATTGTTTCACCAACAGTTTGCCTTTGCAGCCCTTACATAAACCGGCAGAGGATGACAGGCCAATGCTGATGGCCAAGAGGACTGTGAATAGGGAGAGAAAAGAAAGGTGTAAGCTGGATTTTTGTAGTTAGTAAATAATTTTAATTTACCTCCAATTAGAAAAATGGTTTTATTGTTGAACATTTTGTTAATATCTGCTACGAATGTGTTATGAATAAAAATTCGGAAGTTTCTTTGAATTTATAGTCAATCCAAGATTTAGAGGCGTAAAACTTTCTTTACTTTTCTAAGCATGTTTGAAGTGTTGTACAAGTTCAAGTGCTAAATTAAAACAAACATTCTGTGTTTGTTAATTTTTTTGTTTACTGCAATAGTAATTTCTATTGTTTCGTATTAAAGATGTAGGAAGTTCTGTTTTAGAATATAATAAACTTTATGTACAAAATACACGTATGTAAATATTGCTATTGTTGATAGCTCCGCCTAATTATTGTTGGAGGTTTTTTTTTGGGTTATTCAAGATATTATATAGTTTCAGTTGCTCCAACGTATGGACTCATTGTTTGCTTTTGATTTATAAACAATTTTTTTAATATTTATTTACATTACTATATGCGAGGGAAAGTTAATTTTTGCTGTTAATCGTCTATGAATCTCATGTGGTAAGTGACAAAATTAAAGCATACTTTCAGGCGTTTGAATTTACATTTGGTGAAAGGTGAACCGATTCAGTTCAACTAATTTGGTTGCAAATTTATATGAAAGCCATTTGAATATTGAAAATCAAGAAGTATAGGCATATGGGAGCTATACATAAATGTGAACTGATATTGCCCAAAAAGCTGGAGAGTAGTATACGAGTAAGCAGGGGACATATTAAGTGTGGCCAAAAATAGAAGGAGTTGGCAAAGGTGATTTAATTTTGCTACTTGTACTTATTATACCCTACACCACAAGGTGGTCAGGGTATTATGTCTTTGTGCATTTGTTTGTAACAGGCAAAAGGAAACGAGATAGACCCATAGTTCCTTTTGATGATCTGCATAGAATCACTTTCTGAGTTGATTTATGCATGTCAGTCCGTCCGTCCGTCTGTCCATGTATTCTTGTGAACAAAATGCAGGTCGCATTTATTATCCGATTGAGATGAAATTTTGCAAACAACATTTGTTTGGCCCAAGGACGAACCCTATTGAAATTGGAGATAATCGGTAAAAATTTAGATATAGCTCCCATATATATCTTCGTCCGATTTGCCTTTAAAAAAAAAAATAAGTATGCCAAATTTGATCGAAATCGGTTCAGATATAGCTATAGCTCCCATATATATTGTTCATCCGATTTGTTATTTTTGTCCTCCACAGCCGTAATATGCACTCTGTAACAACAATATTTGGGGAAATATATCAAATGCAGCTCAGAAATACCTTTGCTAAATTTTATCGAGATCGGTTCAGATTTGGATATAGCTCCCATATATAACTTCGTCCGATTTACCATTTATTGTGCACGAAACGTCTAATATTTGTCCAAATTGGATGGAATTTGCCACATACAACCGAATTTAGTCTAGAAGGTAGCATGCCAAATTTGGTGAAGATCGGTTCAAATATAGTTATAGCTCCCATATATATTGTTCATCCGATTTATTGTATTTGTTACCCACAGCCGTAATATGCACTCCGTAACAACGATATTCAGGGAATTATATCAAATACAGCTCAGAAATATCTTTGCCAAATTTTATCGAGATCGGTTCAGATTTGGATATAGTTCCCATATATATTTTTATCCGATTTCAAATTAATTTCGCACCAAATGGGCAATACAAGTCCGAATTTAAAAGATACAAATGCTTCGGCATATTTAGTCCTTAGAATTTTAAATTATAATTATAATCATAGCGTGTATGATTGAATTCTCCTATAAAAACTTTTAATTATTAAGTGGAGCTCAACTAAATTAGCAAAGTGGTGTAGAGTATCATAGAATCGGCCCCGCCCGACTTTAGGACTTTCTTTACTGGTTTTTAGCTTACAATGTTGACGACCAAATACTAGAAAGATAGATCCACGTTTTCGCATAACCCCCATTTAACGGCACCTGCTGATATTCGGTATTTTGTCGATTTAAGCCACAATTTAAAATGGAATTTGGTATTCAGAGTTCGCAAAAGATTATACGTCCTGTGGCAGAACATTGCCTTTGTGGATCCATGTTAACCTATGGTCCCCATATACCTATACCGGTACCTCAAGGTATTCAGAATTTTCATGATTTTAGCCACATTTTACAACGCAATTTCTGCCAATTTGATTGTTGATGCTCTCAATAGCTACCAAACTCTATAGAAAACAATTTATAATGAATTGTTTTTTTTTTTCGAAATTGGAGACAATCTATAAATAAAAGAGTAGTGAAATAACTAACTGACTGATCTATAATCAGCGACCATACGAAACTTCTGAAGCTAGAGTTAGGCGTATGATTAGGTAAAAAGTAGAAAAATGTACTAAATATCGAATGATTTGTCGGAATAAGCTAGAATGCTGAAATTTGGAATGAGAGTCAATGTTGGAGTGTAGGATAGATGTACCAAAGAGTTTTTGGAAATTTAAACTTTAAGGTTACGAAAAGTTAAAAAATGGTACAAAACTTTTAAAATGATACCTTTTGGTATTATATGAACGGACAGAGTTTGAATAAATGAAGGCCGTTTTGAAAATGTGTACTAAGTGTGGAATTGTACTAAATGGTACTTATTTTGGAACAGTTCGGTTAAGGGTGAACGGAAAAAGCTGGAATTTTGAAAGTTTGTATTGAAGTCTCTGTTGGTGGTTGGTTAGTGATAAACAGGTGGATTAGGAAATGTATACTACAAGTGCACGACAAAATCTAAATAGTACTATATTTGGTACAATTTATTATTGGGTGAATACATAGTGCTTGAAATCTGACGTTTTGTATTAGGGTCGCTTTTCATGTGTAAGCTGGACCTATGAAGGTGGTTTCTGAAACGTGTACCATAATTGTACGAAAAGCACTGAATGACACTATATTTGGTAGTGGGTGAAAGAAGAGAGATAAAAATCTGAAATTTGTTATTTGGAATACAGATGGTATCTGGAATTGAGATATGGAGATATGTATGGAAATGGACAAAATTTGGTATTGGTAGGGAATAGAGATAGGTAAAGGAATAGAGATAAAATTCAGAAAATTGATTTTTTGATTTGAGGTTGTATCTGAAATTGAGATTTGGGCTGGTATCATAATAATTTATATAGGTGTCACCGTGGTTATGATATGGTGGTGATTTGGATATGTGTACTATAATTGTTCGAGAAGTACTAAGTAGAACTAAATCAGGTATTGGGTGAAGAGTGGAATGCCGAAATTTGGTATTGAGGTATTTTTGGAATCTTTAATTGAGATATGGAGGTGGTTTTGGAAATTGATACAATAATTGTACTAAATGGTACTAAATTTGGTGATGGGGAAGTTAAAGGGCTCATATCCTGAAATTTGATATTGACGTCTTTGTTGATATTAGGGATAGATAGGGTGAGATAATAAAAACTGCAAAAAAGTCAAACGCCATAATTTTTACATTTTTTTTAAATTTTATTGAATGAAAAGAAAAAAAAAAATTCGGAAATAGCATAAAATTTTAGAAAAAGTTTAGATTTGTTCGAATTGGCCATCTTTGGCACAAATTACGGCCTTCAACGGGCAATGAAGCCGTCACATGCTTCCCGAATATTTGTCTGCGGTATTTTGGTCCTTTCTCTGCGAAGCGCTTGTTTGAGGTGATCGACACGTTGGTATTTTTTATTGCCAACCTTGCTTTCCAATATACTCCAAACGGATTGGTACCCGGTGATTTTGGTGGCCATTGTGCGCTGGAAATGAAGTGAGGAATCTCATTTAGAAACCATTCTTGGGTGGCGTGTGCTAAGTGCGATGGTGCTGAGTCCTATTGGAATGTCCAAGGTCTGCGGCCAAAATGTTTGCGTTCCCAAGGCTTTAATACACCCTCCAGAATATTTTTGCAATAATATTCGGCATTAATTCTGATGCCACGGTCGATTAATACAAGCAAAGAGCGACCATCGGCTGTTATGGCGGCCCACACCATTAACATGGCCGGCGCTTGATTTCTGGTGGCCAACCTAAGGTGCACATTTTCAGCTGACCTCTTTGGCAAGTAAACATGATCATTTTGTTTGTTTACAAATTGCTGGACAACGAATGTTTTTTCATCGGAGAAAACCAAATTCGGCAGTTCACCACTTTCCGCCAAGTGAAGCAACTCTTTTGAATCTATTTTTTTTCTGTTGCGGTGTAAGTTCTTGCACATTTTGGAATTTCAATGGCTTTAGCCCGAGCTCATTTTTCAATATTTGCCGAATGGAATAATGCGATATGTTCATCTCAAGAGCCATTTTTCGGCCACTGCGACGCGGGTTTCGATCAAGTCGCTTCTTTACTTTTCGAACCATTTCTGCTGATGTTGCTGTTTTCTTTCGTCCACTTCCTTGTCGTTGGGCTACGCTACCAGTATTGCGGTAACGAGCGATGGTACGAGACACGAAAGATTTATTCACATTTAAATGCTGGAGTGCTCTAACGATAGCCACTTGTGGTTCTCCTGCCAAAAATATAAAGAAATCGCACTACCACGCTTGAATTCCATCACAAATAACATTTTTTCTGCAAAATTCTCACCAAAATGCTTTTGTACGCTTGTAAACAATATAATGAGCTGTCACTGGAAAAAGTTTAACAGCTGCCGGACGAATGGCTTAGAAAGGACAGCAGTCTGAAGTTAGTTGCAGTTCTTTCATCTCACACTGGAGATCATTAAATCGACTTTTCAAATATAAGCTGATGAATATTCTGAGGAGTTTCAAACCGAATGATAATTTCAATGTACCCTTCATCTTATAGTGGAGGGTGTCCTCCTATTGGTCATGTGTTTACCGTCAGAAAGTTAAATTAAGCTTGACTCGTTTAAAATAGACAAAAGTGTAGGTATTTTTACAAATAAACTTCTACCTGTCCAAGACAAGGAATTGAAGATATATTTCCTGATTAAAAATACATTTGTAGAAACGAAGAGCAAGAGAAGACAGTGAAACACCTTCTCTGTAATAGACCTAAAACGTTTTTTTTTTGCAACCAGTAGCTCATAGA